TGTCGAATCTACGTCAATTTAAACCAAGGTTTATAGAACATAAGGTTACCTCATTCCCTATGCCTCTGTAGTATCGATTATTACCCCGCAAATTGACGTCACTGGTTCGATACAGTCAGAATAAAAGATAGATACGTGCCTATACTGTGGTACAGTCTATATAAAATATTTAAACCTCGCATCGTGTTGTGTTGTTCATAGAACCAGCTACGTCACTGACCCACCTTGCCTCTCAGAGGAGGAGAATCGGTATTGGGTAACATTATGTTCTATAGACCTTGACTCCTAACAACTTCAACTGACATAAATTTTTTAGGTTAGAATTTTTAAATTAATCAAATTTGACACTTTGAGGTTATGTTTCAATTAAAATATGTCAAAATTAAAAACTCAAAAAAGAAAAATTTAACGAATATATTTACCATTGAAGTAGGTGGTTGTGTTAAACTAGGTTGATATCTATTACCATAATTAGTAGCGCATTTATTTGGTAAAGTAGGGAATTGCTGTTCCCTCATCAACGTATGATACAAACTAAAAGCTTCCACTAAATCAGAACTCAACTGTGTTAATTGGGCGTGTTTTCTATCGACACGTTCTAATTCCGAGTCAATTAAAGGACCCATTGCGTTTACTTCACCTACAAAAAAGCAAATCCCATTAATAATCCTTAAAATTATTTAAAAAAATTACGTTCTAATTTAAGCATTTCATCCGTTTCCGTTTCTAAATCGGTTGGATCAACTTCATGTAACAAATGTAAAAGTCGATTAACTTTATCTTCATCGATTTGAACATTTTCTAATTCTTTTAAGATCCCCGCAGCGGCCTCATCGCTATTACTATTCGATTCTTCAAAATGTACGGCTTTTTTCTTATCGTTTTCAAGCTCCGCTTGTAAATCGTACGTTACAAAGTTTGCAGGAAATAAACCTTCACCTCTATGATTGCTTCCTTTCCACCAATTTTGATCCGAATCATCCAAAACCAAAACTAGATAAGAAATGAATACAATCATTGGAGATAATCGCTTAATAATACATCTTCTGACTCATCATAATTTAAAAGATAAGTGACTCACTTATTTCTCCGCTAGTAAATGTTAATTCGTTGTCTTCAGCTGCTTCGAAATCGTACAAAGCACGAACTTTTCTTGGTTCTTTTTGTTGTTGAGCTGGTTGGTTGGTAACAGTGCTTAAATTTGTTGATGGATATAAAGATGTTGAAGTTAAACCAGTTGTTGTTGCTCCCCCAGATGATGATCGTGGGGAACTATTTGCTTCTTTTAATGATAATTCAATTGCTTTGGCTATTTGGTCTTCTTCATCTTGAGATTGTACTACGTTCGGATCTTTACTTAACACAACCGTCTTTTTCATTGGCTAATAATGTAAAAATTAAGTCATTTAAAATTTAAAAAAATTGTTTACTTACAGTTTCAACGTTAAAATCAATCCCTTTATGTTTTAAATCACTATAAAGTGTAGGTATTAACCTCAATTCGGGATCTTTCTTAAACGATTCTTCTTCCGCCCAACGTTTTAAAGATTCTTTTAATTTTTCAACAACTTTAGGGTGCGTTTTTTGTGAAGCTAGTAATTTATGATATTCACTTTGGAAATCTCTTGATGCTACTTCTAAATGAAACGTTTTACCACTATTTTTAACACAAGCGTCTAATAGCTTTAAAAAATATTACTTTTAATTAAAATTTAATGGGAAATTTTATATATTTAAAAACATACTGTAACTGCTTTAATAGCTATATGCGGATCAACATTTGAAAGTCTTTTCATAATCGCTTTTAAATAATTTTTGGCATCATCTGTACTTTTTCCAGCTTTATCGCAAACATCTATGATAACACTCCAATCTTCTTCCGGACTAGATTCACTGGTGGCTCGTTCTAAATAAAGACACAAAGAAACGTTTTTTTCCAGATAGAACCGATTTACATTGTCTGAAAATGTACATAGAAAATGACTCACCTACGTCTGCATCGAACTGTGACGGACTTGACCCAAAAATCGGCATCTTTCGATCAATTTATGTGTTGTTAACTTAAATCAAACTTACGCGAAATCGTTGTTAATTGGATTTCACAAGCTTTTCCATAAAAAAAAATCAAAACACGTCGAAAAATACGTCTTCTCACTTTTTAATAAACGTCAACCCGATGACATTTCACTTGTAAACAAATTGAGTGACGTTGCCGTTTTAGTGATAAACTAAAGTCACTAGGGTTATCACTTTCTAAAAATATTTTTTTTAAATTTAACAATAACTCATGATAATTCAATCAATAAACATTGATAAAGCAATATTATTATTGTATGTATTTAACTTATGGTCTGAGGTTAATAGTTCTGACTTCAATGAAGGATGATAAAGGAATAAATATGTGTAGGAAATTTATAAAAATTTTTTTTGGTTATTACTTTTTATTTTTGCCATAAGAGTAACAACGACTCACATTTTTCAATATTAAGTGTATCATTAATAAATACATTATAAAAACATAATATGTACAATGAAAAAGGTTAGCGGTAGTGGCTAAAATTGGATAACACATCAATGCTGAATATTACAATGATAAATACTTTACGTAAAAATGAGAAAAAAAGACGTTTTTTAATTAAATTTATTTAGTAGTAGTAATTCCTTAAGTTTATGTACGCGATTTGTTTTTTTTTTAAACATTTTTCGTTTTAAATTGGCGCCTATTTTAAAAATGTAAATGTGAGTGAAAAGAAATCGTTTTTATTCAAACTGTTATTTCAACAAAGTAAATCGAAGCAATTCGTTCGTTTTTCATTCTATTTTTAAGGCTGGTGCACCGTTTATAAACTTTATTTCGCACTAGGACGAAAAGTTATTATTCTTTTTTCGAACGACGTCAACAATGACTGTTTACAAAAGAAAAGCTTTTGAAAAAGCTTGAAAGTACAGCCCCGTACGTCATTTTATTACTAATAAGATATAATTTTATAAATATAACATTTTATTGTTAATTTTATTCTTGTTGGAATGACACTAATAAAATTATTGTTTTCATTCATGGACATTTTTCATATTTTCTTTTTCTACCGATTAAAAAAAATATTATCAATAATAATAAATCACAACCAAACCTTTTCTTTTAAATTAATAATAATTATTATTAAATTCCTTCTTTTTATACAATTACGTTACGCTACAATAACAATACATTTTTCGTTTTTCTAAAGACAAAATACTCCTTTTGTGTAATAATAAAGACAAAATAAAAAAATCCATTTCCTATTTTTCTTAATAAAAATTCTAATATATCTCACAATCAGATGCAGTGTCATTGGCATTGATAAAAAATGACTTTTAGGGGGTTAATTAATTTTTAAACTATTTTCTTTTTTAGTTTTTGTAATTCGAGAAGATTGTGTGAGTACGCTTGGTTTTTCAATCATTTTTTTCTTTATAAAAGATCACGTTAAAAATTACAGTATAGTATGCAATGGTAATAAAGCAGTTAATGTTAACTTGGGGTCAAAATAAATTGAAAAATTATAATGGGCAAAAATCGCTTCTTCTTGTTAAATCGTTTTTCTCCTTTTTTCGCTTTTTTAAATAAATAGCCGCTAAGAGATTGCGACGCAACCAAATCAAAACCTAAATGACCAATGCCATATCCTTTTTATTGGGTAAATTCACTTTTTTCCCTTGCCACAGAGAATTGTGTATCGTGAAAGCGTCGATCGTCACCGTCAGGTGCTTGGTGTGTACTTGAGAGAAACATTTACCACCTGAGTTGTATCTAGAAACAAAAATTTTATTAAATTGTTTATTAAATTTTGTTGTTGTTATAGCTTACTTAAAAAATTTATCGAACATCCTATCGTTGACTTGTTTTGGACCAGTTCCATATAATTTCAAAACTTCCTCTCTATCCGGACAGTAGGAGTAAAGTGCTCTAAATTGGCATCCCGTATCTCTAAACAAAATCAAAAAGTGCTTGCTTTCCGATCGCGCAATCTCCTCCAACACTTTTTGTTTCGCCTCTTTATTAACAACTCCCGGGAAAACACAATATTCGACGGCGTTCAACATTATCCCACGATTCGATTTTGTAGCCGGCTGCTTATACAATCTTGGACCTACAAAAAATAATTAATTCCCACCAAAAATAGTAACAAATTTAATAAATTTTTTTTGTAAAATCCATTGAAAGCATAAACTAAATAAAAAAATCATGCTAACACATGCAACAAACCTGTATAATCCATCATACTACTAGAAGAACTGATATCGCTGGATCCGTCATCGAAAATTCGTCGCTTTGACATTAATCCAGGTAAACTACCTGGACCTGAAGGCGACGGTAAATGCCGCATGGGCCCCATTCCAGGTGATGGTGCTCGACGTGGCGGCGTAGCCCTTCCCAAACCCGAATCAGTGTCGCCGTAACGATACGCTAAACTATCTTGATCGGTACTCGAACCTAGGTTTTATAAGAGAGATGAAGAAATTGGGTTAGTATTAAAAGGTTACGTTAGTAAGAAGTTATAATAAAAATGTATACAAGAAATATTGTTTCTGAAATCTGAGTAATACGATTTCAGAAAATAACGTAATATGATTAATAAAATGGTTTAATATTAAAATTTGTGATATTAATTAATATACAATAGAGCTTTTAAGTTATTTGTCAAAATTTCAACTATAAATATAAGTGAAGTTAGTTAAGTATACTTGAGGTTAGTTTAACATTAATAATGACATTGACACATTTTAATTGGAACTAACCATCATTTATATTTTTAACGTCATTCGTAAATGTTTTTTTGTAATTCGCTACAGTAATGGAAGCTATAACAGTACTCAAACGGATGCTGTAATGAGACTCCTTACAGCATCCGATGCTGTAATGAGATTTTAGTAACATTTTATGGAACCAGTTCAAGTTGGTGACATTGGGTCATTAATTTTTCTAGTTGTCAATGTGACAATTTTTGTCTATGGATGTTTAAACACGTTCTTAGCATCGAATACAAGGTCCACAATGATGAGGACATTGACTCTGAGCAATTTCTCTTATTTTGGGAGGTGTACATCAAACATTTTTTTCAGGTGAATATATTTTGTGTTTTGACAGTTTCTAATTGTCAATTCAAAGTTTCTATTTTCAAGTGTTCCGGTGTTACCAACTGCTACATACCTATTTCCCTACATTGCCAAAATTTACTTTATTTTTGTTAAAAAAAAGTATAAAAACGCGAATTACAAAAAATATCATAAAAAACACGTTTCATAAGACTTAAAGCACTCATTCATTAAAAAACTCGTTTTTCAACTTGAATTCGTGCATTTCAAGCGTGTCTTACGAAACTTGTTTTTTAATATACTATTATGAGTCACATCTAAATTATTCTTTCAATAAATTAATCCAAAAATTAACTTTATAGTCGAAATAATCCTTAAAAATTAATTAATCTCGATAGTTATTAAGTAACTGTCAGTTTTGACATTTCTTAAAAACTCATTGTTTTGTTAAATTAATTTGTTGGGTTGAAAGAAACTGGGTTTTGAATTTTGGTGTAATTAAAAAAGAAGTTAAAAAAGATAAAAGGGAATAATAATTAAAAAAATGCAACAATGCTCAATTTACTAATTTTCATTCATGAAATTAAAAAAATTGGGGGATATTTCTAATAAACATACCTTTAACGTTCTTCAGGCTTCATTCAACTAACTATTTTGTTTAAAAAAAGCAAGGCGAAAATACTTTTAAAAAAATTAAGATGTTTCCTTCGATTTTTAACATAAAAAGAATGAAAAAAACTATAATTTATAATAAAAAATTCTAATTTGTTACCTTTCTATAGGAGTCGCCAGAACGAATCGCTATTTTAATTTTTAACAAAAAAATTGCAAACCCAACAAAAAAAAAACAATCCAACAATCTAAATCTACAACAACAATAAACAATAACCACCACCACAAAAAAAAATAAATAAATAAACCCAAAAGTAGCAAGTGAAAAAAATGCAACCGATAACCACAAAGTTAAAAATAAATTGAATTAAAATGAAATAACAAAGAAATGGATTTTAATAAGAATGATATTTTAACCGACACCTTGAAAAAACTGTACAAAAAAAAAAATAATGAAGAATTAAATATCAAATAAACCTGAGGAGCTGCAAAAAGCTTTGAAACACCACATAATTAAAAAAGTAAATAAATTAGGCCTGAGACAAAAGACATAGTAACAGACGGAGATTAAGAAGAAAATGTGAGTGAAAGTTTAGAGAGATCTTACCGTACAAATTCATCATAGAGTTGGACTTGCGCCCTTTAAAGTTTTGATAAGTCGAATACTTAGGCCTGCCGCGGACTTGAGCAGGCGACGGGTCTGCAAATACATCATACAAACGCTACTGTCCATTTCACTTAAAAATATTTAACTTTTTATTTCAATTTAAATGCAAAAACGAACAAATTCGTAACGAAAAAAAAAAAAAAAATTAATAACTAAACAAAAAACATAATAAATAGGACGAGGACACAGGAAATTATTAAAAAGACAAGAAACAATAAAAACGTTATTATTATACACCGACTTTGAAAAATGAGTTACCCGAAATTATTTCGTTTTTTTGTAATATGATTTAATATTTTATAAATGAAATGGAGAAGAGATGTTTCTTTTCAATTTGGCTGGCAGGAAATTGCGTGCCACAGATAGAGACAAACACACTACAAACTGTGGAAAAAGCGCGCGCTTTCCGAATGTAAGAGTCAAAGACGCAAAATCAAAGAGGATAACTCAAAAAAAAAAAACCAAAACAAAAAAATAACGGAAAAAAGACAAAACAAAACTACACCCCCACGATAACAGATTATACTGATAATAATAATAAATATATAAAGTATATACGTGTATTCCTGTATATGAAAGCGTGTTGTTTTTTTTTCGGTCGCTACTACACACAACAGAAAAAATAGTTTACAATAAAAAAAAAGAGACATTTACCTCTGGACGTTTTATATGAACTTCTTCTCCCTAATGTTTGGTTGGCGCTATGACACGGCGACATTCCTCTACTATCATCAGGCGAATCTAAATCAATTAAAATATATTTTTTTTAATTTACTACAAGAAATAAATATATAAACCAATTATAACATATTTCCTCAGGTTACTATTTATACAGTGTATGCGGGTTATAACGCCTCCGTCTATAATGAAATTGTGGTTATAATGATGTATAATAGTCAAAAATCCTAAATTAATAGGGTAAAATTAATTTATTCTTATAATTCCAATGTTGTATCCAAGCTTTCATCCAGCCATTTGTCATATTTAACTTTCTGAAGGGTGGTTCCTCACCGATTTTGTTGAAATTTGGTACAGCGATAGTATGGCCAAAAATAAGGTTTACGTATTTTTTTATACGTGCTAATAACGCCCCTGGGGCGAGTTATAAGGGTTGGAAATCGGGGCGAAATATATATATTCGCTTATAGGCTGAAAACGAAAATAGCTATCGAAATGTGGTAAATGTAAACTGATATTCATTTTCAAAGAGCTTTCCATTGATATATCACACATATATCTGAGGGCTTCAGGGGGTAAACTACCCCTACTTTTTTGGAATATTTTAAAAACTACCCTATCGATTTTGGCGATAATATGTGTCCTTATAGTACGTTTAAAAATATTAATGACGTGTTTTTTCTTATTTGCCTCTGACCATCCCTTGCAAAATTACGGGGTATGATAGATAACCCCTTTCCTTAAGAATAATGTGATAATCAGTTACACTTTTGAACAATATTTTGAAGAAAACCATTAATTAGTTGTAAATTAAGATTTACGCAGTAAAATAAATCCTATACGACAATAAGGGGTGGCTGGGGTTAACTACCCCAAAAATTAATTTTTTTTGCGAAAATTGTTTGTCGATTTTGGTGCAATTTTCCACGATGATTTGTTTATACGTTAGGTAGTACTATTGTAAGAACTTACAAGGGTTAGAAGTTTGGGGTAGAAAATATATTTTCGCTAATAACTTCCATACTCCTACGGAAAAAGCTTTTTTATCCTTATTCTATTTAAATAACACAAAAGTTAGGATAATTATATAAATATTTATTAATAATGAGTTAAAAAGTAACTGACAAAAGAATGGTTGACTATCACAAATTGTATTCTACATTATTAATTTAATTTCTTTTTTTTTACTTTTTTTATTCAATATATTGTTGGCAATAATGAAAATCATGGAAAAAATGTTTTAAACACAACGATTGTTTACACCATGCACAAGTTATAACAGCTATATCTCCACAGATATCGCACGTAGGTTTTTCATTGGAAAAGCAAACCTCCACGGGATTTTCAAACTGTTCTGGTCTCTCCTCTATATATCCAGATGCAAACCAGGCGTATTTAAAAACATTAATAAATCGTGGGGAAGACAACTGGTTATGCGTTAAGGATTGCAATTTTAAAATATTATCTCGCTGATGCAAATTGACATCGTACTGGTAGAGAATAACTTGATCAGAAAATCTTCTAATGAAATTTTTCCATATTCTAAAACCAAATACATCCAGGGGTTGAATTTGACCTGTTGTCCCTGCAGGTATAGACAAATATTTAAACTTAACATCCGATGGAGTTACTTCACTAATAATTTCAGGGCAGTGGCCACTCCAAGAATCCAGTAATAGTAATGATTTGGGTCCGGTGTTTGGGAAATAGACATTTTGTAGCCAATTTTTCATATGAGCAGAAGTCAGTTTACCAGACTTTGATGCCAAAACGAATATGTTATCTGCTTTGAACATTGTATTTATTACCCTCGGTCCAAACGTACCAGAGGATCCTTTAAAAACAATGAAAAGAGGAGAAAGTAGCTTTCCATTTGCAGATATGATATGCGTGTGCGACTAACCTCACACTATATAAGGACAGGGTTATCACTTTACTACATTCAGATTTAACACAACTGATAGAAACAATGATTATCAACAATACATTAAATAAAAATAAATTTAAAAAAAACTAAACTAACAATGTAGAATACAATTTGTGATACTTACCTAACCATTTTTTTTCAATTGCTTTTTAACTATTATTAATAAATATTTATATAATTATCCTAACTTTTGTGTTATTTAAATAGAAGAAGGATTAAGAAGCTTTTTCCGTGGGAGTATGAAAGTTATTAGCAAAAATATATTTTCTACCCCAAACTTGTAACCCTTGTAAGTTCTTACAATAGTACTACCTAACGTATAAAAAAATCATCGTGGTAAATTGCACCAA